CATGACCTGAGCCGAAGGCAGACACTTAACGACCGAGCCACCCAGGTGTCCCCAAATAAACATTTCTTTAGTTCACGTGTCCACCATCCACAATTTAGCCTGGACTTGGCTGGCAGCCCTTTTGGTCTCAAACAGCCCACTTCACATATCATTGTGGGATTGGCTGGAGTGACAGGGCTACTGGGCCAGCTCATTTTCCAGCACGCAACTCAGCGATGGTTTTAAGATAATTGCAGGGGACCAGAAAGTGAAGCAGAAACAAGCAAATGCTTTTTCAAGCTTCTCAGGTGTCACATCTGCTGACATTCCGGACTCGGGAAGAGAAATGGGCCCTGCCTCGTTAGTGAGAGGAGCTGAAGTCACACAGCAAGGGGTGCTGAGACAGAGATGGAGAAGAATCCTGGGAGAAGGACTGGGGCCCACAATGCCATCAGCCTGCTTTGGCCCCCAACACACCATCTCCACTGAAAGGGAAGGAGGCAGCCCGGGACAGGGAGTGGGATTTTAACACGGGCTAGACTGAGAAGTGATGCAGCCCCCACCCCACTGGCCAGGCCCCAGTCACATCGCCCTAATATGCCTGAAGGGAGGCTGAGAATGTGTGTGTCCGGGAAGAGGAAATGGGATTGGTGAATTTCCCAGACCTGCCACACCTGGGACCCTGCCTCTTGTCCCCAAGTGCTCAGAGATTCCAGATTTTTACAGAAGCCTCAGGCCTGACCCTCTGATACAGAGGCAAAGTGGTGTGTGCCCCACTGTCCACCTTGTCCAGCTAGGTCATCCCTGGCACCGGGTCTCCTGACCCAGAGGCTGAGTCCCAGGATCCAGTGAGTCCCCTGGACCCGGGAAGTCCAGGCACCCTTTCAGTCTGGGTCTTGTGACATACTCCCATGCCTGCTCATGGCTTATCTCTCGTGAAGGGTCAGTCAGGCCACAAACAGGCCCGAATCCGCCAACTGGCATTGCTACAGGTACTTTTCCCCTAAATGGGGACTTTCATCAAATGAAACGTTTAACAAAACATTCATGTTTTGTTACCCAAGACCATGGGCCTCAACTATGCCACCCTCCATTGGGTCTCTTTTCTCCCTAGCCTCGGATGACCCATGGTCCCTTCTGCCAGGCATTCTACCTCTTCCACGCCTGCAGCCTTTGCACCTTCCCTGTGTGCTCCTCAGAAGACTGGACCATGTAAATCTCCTGTTACACTGTGCCCCCAACTTCCACCCCTCGTTTTAAATCAAGCTCCTGTTACCTCCCAGCTCCAGCTTCTAGTTAATGGCAGGGGCCCAGCCTCTCCGAGCAGTAGAGGAAGAGGAGGTTCCCACCAGCTGTCCTCGGCCCATCAGGCCACCCCTCAGGAGGAATTCCCAAGTGGGCACCAGCTGGTGCTAGAGATGGGGGAGGCCCACAGTGGTCCCGATGCTTTGAAAGTTTTCTTAAGTGACAATTAATTGGTACTGCTAATCCCACGTAGACGTGGTCCATGCCCTCCAGGGGCTTACAGGCCATAGGGGCTGAGAAACCAGGAGGCAGCAAGGGGTGATATATTGTCATAAGAGTGGAGATGGTGGGGGTACTGGACAAAGAACATCAAAAGGGCACCCACCCCACTGACTGGTGGATGGCTTCCCATGAGCCTCTGGCCCCACCTCAGGCAGAGGAAGTCAGTGGACCCCACTGCTCCCTATTGCCTGATCCACAGAGAGGGTGCTCTAACAGCCAGGGACAGAGGCCAGGCCTGTCCTGGATGCTACTCCTTTGCTCATATTCTCCAGACCATAATCCACACTCTTTTTTTTATTTATTTGCGAGAGAGAGAATGAGAGACAGAGAGCATGAGAGGGAGGAGGGTCAGAGGGAGAAGCAGACTCCCCGCCGAGCAGGGAGCCCGATGCGGGACTCGATCCCGGGACTCCAGGATCATGACCTGAGCCGAAGGCAGTCGCTCAACCAACTGAGCCACCCAGGTGCCCATAATCCACACTCTTGATCAGTGGAGTTTGAAGCAGTGCTTCCCTGCAGAGTTCAGGAAAGGGGCCCAAGGCCGGACAAGTGAACGTGTTTGTGTTGGTGAATTGGAGGGAGGGTATTTAGGTCAAGATAGTGGGCTAAGGATAATGGAAAGTTAAACCGGAGCTTCAGGCCAGGCACCAGGTATAAGAGATAAGAAATAAGATCTGAGACCGAAATGTGGAAATTCCAAAGGAGGTGACCAAGACAATTTAGGGGGTTTCCAGGGGTGTTGCGGGGGAGGGGAAATGGAGAGTGATGGCTGCAGGTTTTCTTTTGGGGCAATGGAAATGTTTCAAGTCTCGATATAGGTGGTGGTTTCACAACACTGTGAATGTACTAAATGCCACCGAAGGGTACACTTTAAAACTGTTAACTTTATGTTATATGAAATTCACCTGTAAAAAGTTTTTAGAGATAAAAAAGGAAGAGCTCAGATGGCTCTAAAACCCAAAGGGAGGATACAAAAGGTTGGAGACAGCAGAGATGTTGAGAAATTGTTATGGGAATTACAGCTGGCCATGAGTCTGTCCCAACCAAGCAAAGGATGGGCAAGGTGCCACCTGCAACCCCAAGGCCACTGATAGAGAAGTCTTGAGGACACCTACGTACACTTCTGTGGAGCAAGAGCTGATGGCTGACGCTTTCCTGGGAATCTGAGTCATAGTCAGTGCCCGTGGGCCCGGAACTCTGGCAGAGGTAGGATGTTGTTGGCTTTGTGTGTGTGTTTGAGAGAAGGGGGTGGAATTGGAGGAGAAAGTGCTTTTCCTGAACTGGGCTTAGGGGAATGCAGACAGAGGCAAGGCAGTGGCTTGCAGGGAATGGCAAAGTGCAGCTCTGTGACTTGTGCAAGGACCCCTTTGGGCAAGTGTAGGGGACTGATAGTTTTCCAGCAAGTAGGAAGGAGGGAGGGTGTGGTCCAAGATGATTTTAGAGGTCAGTGACTTGGGCCCAGCTGTAAAAAACCATAGAATGCTGACTCCAAACTTCCTTTTACCTTTCTTCAGCTAATAAGTAATTTGTTCAATTTCAAAGATGAGGTTTTATTCTGAACTTGGTAAAACTTTAAGAACATCCAGTTTCCTTTTATGTAACAGTGTACTGGTTAAACTAGGGTAAGTTTGTTTTTGGTTTTGCCCGCCGGGCATATGCCTCTTCTGTCTGGCACACGTGTGTGCCCGTGTGAGTACCTGCAGGAAGGTCTGTGCTCCCTCGCTCTGCCGTGCCTCTTCTTCCTCCTCCTCACATTTGTAATATTGTGACAACATATACATCACATAAAATTGACCATTTTAACAAATTTTAAATGTGTAGTTCAGTAGCATTAACTACATTCAAAATGTTGTGCAACTATCATCACTATTTCCTGAATTTTTTCAATACCCCAAAGAGAAACTCTGTACCCGCGAAGCAATAATCCCTCTTCACCCCCTCCTCCCAGCCCCCGGCAGCCACTATTCCACCTTTTTAGGAATTTGCCTACTCTAGGTACCTCGTTTAAGTGGAGTCATACAGTATTTGTCCTCTGTGCGTGGCTTTATTTCACTTAACAATGTTTTTTTAAGGTTTATCCATATCGTAGAATATATCAGAATTTCATTACCTTTTGAAGGCTGAGTAATATGGTATATTACACGCACACACATTTTGTTCATCCATTTATCTCTTGATGGACATTATGGTTGTCTCCACCTTTTGGCCAGAGTTAATTTTTTTTTTTTAAACCAGAAAACAACAACAACAAAACATTTAAGATACAGTGGGAACATAGTGAATTTTTAATGGGGAGACATTATTAGGAAGGTTAATGAATACATTTTCCATGTATCATAAACCAGGTGGTTACCTTCTGAACAAAATCAGTGTGAAAATGCTCAGCTCTATATCCTGAGGATAACCTAGTTTAGATTTTGCTAAATATGAGTCTTATTATACGAAGTTTATTTTAGGAACAATTATGCAGGAAATATGGACCTGTGACCAGGTGGCAGACCAGGGTTTTAAAGCTAGTGGCTGGGGCACCTGAGTGGCTCAGTCAGTTAAGCACCTGCCTTCGGCTCAGGTCATGATCCCAGGGTCCTGGGATCGAGCCCCGCATCGGGCTCCCTGCTCAGCGGGAAGCCTGCTTCTCCTGCTCCCTCTGCCACACCCCCTGCCTGTGCTCTCCGGCTCTGTCAAATAAATAAATAAAATCGTAATAAAAAAAATAAAGCTAGCGGCTGACTGGGGAAGACAGCATCTACTTTGAGCACTAATTAGAGGAAATTAAACAGGGGCACTGCCCCTGCGGGCCAAGTCACCTAGAGCTACGGCTAGAGAAAGCTCATAGGGGAGAGCAGGACCTAAAGGTTCCTCTCTCCAGCCAACGTCTCCCCTCTGGGGGCATTTTCACTCCCTGGGGTGTGAACCAGAGGGGAGGGGCACCAGCTGTTTGACAGATTGGCAGATGCCCAATGAGGTAGAGAAGTGCCCGAGGGAAAAAGTGAGCACCCTCATGGCGTGTGGGTCTAGGGAACAGGAGGGCAGAGCACCCTAAGGGGAAGCTGGGACAGCCCAGATCCTACCAGAAGCCTGGGAGGGGTCAGGGGAGCAAGGTTAGGCAGGACAGTGGGTGCCAGCAGAGCTCTCTCCATGGGGCATTCTGAGAGGTGGGAGGGGAAGAGGAGGGGCGT